GGTGTGTCTGTACGAGTAGCCATTGTGCCTGTTCGTGAACAGAGGAAAGGTTGTGTCTGTATGTACAAAGCTGGTGTCTGTTCGTCTAAGATGTGACCTTTCAAAAGGAAGTCAACAGTTATGTCCCAGTGGCTGGTCTGGGTCGTAGGGGCAGTCCAGATCCAGACTTCTAAATTCAGATTCGGGCCGTGAGGCCTCAACAGCAATTGCTTTTCATTGGGAGTGCTCTGGGACACATGCAATGCAGGGTCTGGGACAAAAGGACAGGCCGAACTGAGCCAATGCAGACCCAACGTGGAGAGGCCAGCACTACTTAAGGAGCAGCCAGCCTCATTCCACGGCAGATCTCCTCTGGCATTCAATACGTGGAAGTGCTGGTGCACTTGTACGTTAGTCAGGCAGGAGCAGCGCTGGAGGAAGGAGATGCGCTAAAGGAGGAGAAAAGGCTGGGCGCTGGAGGGAAGCAGCCATCGCTGCCCAGCAGATTAGTGTAGACTTAGCAGGGTTAGTGTAGATAGCTATGAGTGACATTCAGAGTAGATCCTCGTGAGAGAAGAGTGTGTATGCATCGAGAGAGGAAGGGACTGAGACAGAGAGAGTGTTCTTTCAAGGTCTGGTTATGGAGGACACTTACCTGAGTTAGAAGCAAGTGACGAAGGTGGCATTGATGTATCTGATGTGGGATTGGTATTGCGCTGAAACGCGTTGACTCAGGGAACTGTGAACTCATTGTAATCATAATTTTTGATAATATAAGTGACGGGTCTTGGTCCTATTCTCATCTACCTTTGTCTCGTGTGTGGCAACTGTGTCCATTGAGTGTGAAGACGATGTTTGATGTATGCACATCTGCGTGAGTTGGTCCCCAGGACCCATGCACCTTCATGCTGGCCAATGAATTGATGAGTACCACAGGCAGTTGTAGATGGGCTAGCAAGGGCAAGCTGGTGAATGGGTAACATTGGCAGGTATACAAAGAAAATTGGTTCTTTAAACCTCTTTTTAATTCGGCCCAGAAAACATGGTCTCATAGCCATGGCTCTAATATATTCCAGTGAACAACAGTTCAGTTGGTTCTCCGGTACCAAGATATGAATAGTAGTAGTAGTAGGGGTAGCAGTAGCAGTCTCAGCAAAGGAAATTCCAATGCTCCAAATAAAAATAAAATAGGAAAAATAATAATAAGAAAATTTTGAAAAACATAAAATTTGAGCCCAAAAAACCTTAATTTCAGACAGAAGGACTTCCAAGGACTGCCTATTGACCTGTACGAACTTAAGCAGGTAAAAATAATTGTCGGCTTTCTTACGGCCTGAATCAAAACTACGGGCCTCTACAACATGACCTACCGGACCTACCGGATGGGACTATGATACAATGAGAAACTTGAACTCAAGGACTGATCCGGGGCTACTGAGATTCGCAAATCCTTTCATTCCCACCGGCCTAAGTTCGGGGTCCTCCGAGAAAGACAATAACTTTACTTGTCTGCGTATCTGATTCCTCTGAGTGCTTGTTCATAATGTGAAACAGTTCTGGGGGCAGTGTTAACTATCTGATCCTTGGGGAACCATCTATCTTCTTCTGGCTCTTGACGAAGACGAAGACGAAGACGAAGACGAAGAAGAAGAGCTCCAGGCTCCTTCGGTTGTATCATAGATGTCTAATTGTTGATAAACAGATGAGGTGTCCAAACCCTGCTGGATGCAATAATGCTCAAGGCTATCCCTTTGGGCAGAAAACTATAAAATGCTTCTTTGGTTGTTATCACCCATGGCGGTTGCGGAGCAGCCTGCAGCACCAATGTCAATACCCACATAAATAAAAATCTGTTTTGGTTAGTCTCATCCATGGTTCAAGTGGAGCAGCCATCAACACCAATTCTTCCATAGGAATGACACTACTCTAAGAGAAGCCTGTGGAGAAGGATTACTTGGTGGTTGGAAAGTTGAGCAAATCCTTGAGAGGAAAGTGAAGTGTCAGGCTGTGGTGAACTACTTCATGCTCTCTACTTGGGAGCATAACCTTAGATTCTGCCAATTCGTGTGCCGGTGCAAGTGCTGTGGTATATTATCCAGCTAAGAGACTCGAGGGCAAGGAATGCGGCAAGGCTGGGCCACTGTATTGCATAGTACCAACACAAAGGTGGAGCATCCTACATTGCTTTTGCATGATGATGTGATTTTGTAAAGCCGCTGATTTGATCAGTGTTAAGTTGTTAACTCCTCCATTATAATCACTACTTTGATTCGATGTCAGTACCTGGGTAGAGTAATGCGGATTTAGCCACTCCGCTTTTCAGACCCGCCGCAGTCCCTGCAACATGAGTGCCATGCCCTTGGCAGTCAGCTGTTCCTTGAAAGTCCCCAATGGCGTTGAACCCGGGGCGAACACGTGAGGCAAACCTCCCATTGGGCATTCTTCTCCGGTCAATGTAGTAGAAATCTTCATGTGTTTCTCTGATCCCCTTTTCCAGACAAGGAAAATCACCCAGCAACATCCAGCCTTGGCAAAACCCAGCATTGCCCACATGTTTGCAGCTTCCACGCGAAGAACCTCAAATCTCCCAACCTTGCTCGTCAATCATCAATACATACATAATTGCACTCGAATTCGATGGTTGATGGTCAAAAGCCATGCCAATTCTTCCCATGAATTTCACAATTGAGCATCAGATCAAGAACCACACAAGACACAAAGCAAAAATCATATTTCAGTTCAAATATCTGAGGAACCCCTGACCGACTGACGAAAGGGTTACCAAGGTCCTTGCAATGGCATGCGACAGGTTTCAGCGCTCACCTAATCTGATTCAACCAAGGGCGTAACAGTTGCCCCTTTGGGAAGAAGTGAAGCATGTTTGTTTTCTTTGTACCAGACAACGACAAGATACCCCTTCTGTTCTGTTGGGTACCAGTGCAAGGATTTAGACCCTCGGCAGTGTCTGAAAGTGCCGTGCCCGCCCTAAGTGAAGGCGGGCCTGCAAATATGTGCCAATGCCTGTTTATAGGCCTATAAGACCAGGCTGAGGGGTTCAAGCAGAGCCTGTTGTAAACCCCATTTGGGGATGGATCGTCGATGAGGCCTTGTTACGAGCTGGCTCCTTAGCATGCCCCTGCAGGGCCCTTTCAGCAAGCATGAGCCCGCCCTAAGTGAAGGCGGGCCCCTGAATTTCAATATGGCCTGAGTTCGTCAATTTTGACAAAGTTTGGTGGGCGCCAGACAGTTCCCATGGACCAGTTGGTTACATCCTCCATATTCGTGAGAATCAGAAAAGACTTCCTGAGCTTTCTAGGCTCTTCCAGCAGCACAGGCGAAGCAGGGAGAACCTCACGTTTACTCCTGGCTGGTTGGGCAGGCCCAACCAATTCAGTCCCAGGCCACTGTCTGAATGGGCCTGGGCGCAGACACTTTGGCCCAATTGGAAGCTACTGGAAATACACGAGGCCCAGCCAGGTAGCAAACCGGGCGAGCACTTTTCATGAAGGAAAGAGCTCGCCACTGGTGGATTTTGGGGCACTAGGCAGTGCATGCGGCAGCGCTGCTTGAGCGTGCGTTAGCAGGCTGTGTGCTGTGCACTAGCGCTAGTTGCCAGGCAGTGTGTGCGGGCGCTGGAAGAAGGCAGGGCGCTGCTGAGGGCAGCGCCATAGCCAGCCCTACATAGCCAGGGCTTGGCTTGGACAGCCAGTGGAGGTGGTGGTGGTCTTCGTGCATAAGGGAGAAGACGTGGGAGGAAGACAAGGATAGGGAGAGAGTGAAAGAGATGAGGATGATGATGTGAGGGCGCATACCTGGTATTGGCGATGGTCTGCATTGGTCGACATCTTCAAGTACTTCGGTGGCTGCTGACGTCAACAGTTGCATTGTCAATTCGTAGGCAGGAAGTAGCTGTGTAGGGAGTAGCCTGGGCGCCGAGCGCCAAGTAGGTAGAGAGGGCCTGGATACGTATGTTGGTGGGGACGAGAGTAAAGCTCTCATTGACATTCGGTTTCAGTGTTTTGATTCTCCATTGGTGTAATATTGGTGCAATGCTTATCTGGACACTGTGGGACTTTCTTGCTTTCAATGTGATTGTGCTGTCTGGAGTCTGTCATCTTGCTCTCTCTCATTTTCCTTGCACCAGTCCGGTTACTTTTTTTCTCTATCCCTATACTCCTAAATACTAACCCGGTCCTCAGCTGACGCTGCCCGCTGGGCCCAGCAAAAATCACTGGTGCGGTACCTGGCCAAGAGAAACCGTCAGGGGCCGCTGGGGGGGGGCAGTTTCACTCAGTGTGGCCCTCAGCCCGTTTTTTTTTTTTCCCACGTGCTCTAAGTTCCCGAATGTTAAAATACGTGCCACTTTGTTTTTTTTGTTTTTTTTTTTAATGGAAAGATGGCCCTTATATTGCAAAAATCATAGTTGAGGCCGGGGACCTCACAATTCAACCCGGAGTACCATACTGGGGCCAATACCCAGCTTAAGTTATGCTGGAAACCGGGTCCAGAGCCCCTTATAACCACAGCCACCTTCAAAAGAAAAGAAGGAGAAACTAAACTAACAGAATGACATGCACTCCGACACAGAATACACTACCAGTGACCAACCAAATCTACTACTAAAAGTCCTAGGAGCAGAGTGATCCCCTCATTTCTCACTGCCCAAAGCACTGTAAAGAACCTGAGCTGCCAAGACGGGTTTCCCACCACGCACCCAATGGATACACCTCGAGTCTGATCTTGACCGTTTCTCTTTTTCCGCCCGACCAGTAGCGTTCCCACTGCCCCTTGCTACACTCCCACTGTTCGAGGTGGCACCGCTACTGGTAGTTCCGTGAATTTCACTCTGAACTGCTCTAAACTACGTCACTCTTCTCAGTTGTAAACTACTGCAGCAACCTTCTCACAACAACTGCAAACGCATCAACCGAATTCCTCACCCACAATGGTTCCCAGAGAGCTAAACATATTGACCCTAATTCCTACAAAGTTACAAACCCAAGCATCCACAGACTAGTCATTAGACATCGTCCACCCCATTATGCACAAACCCCGAAGAGCCTGAGCTGCCATGACAGGTTTCCCACCACGCACCCTTGGATCTCTATGGGTGTGACGATCTCAATGGGTACATCTCAAGCACCCCCCCCACTGTCTCCACTCTTACTGCCTAGCCAGAAGCGTTCCCACTGCCACCTCTTACACTCTCACTGTTTTCGGCAGCACCGCTGCTAGTAGTGCCCAGGACGCCTGTGATAAGCTCAGATCCGTACCGTGCGACTTGCCGTATCCCTGAGGAAAAATCCCGCGGTAGCCCCGAAGTACGGATGCGGATAGAAAGGGGTTTTTCTTTCTTTTTGCTTTTGTTTTCTATTTGAAACGGTTTTTTTTCATTTTTGTTTTTTGAAACGTTTTTTTTTCATTTTTGTTGGTTAATAACTCCCACGCGGGCGAATAGCGGCCGCGGTAGGAAAAGCAAGAAACAGTTTCGGTTGGGACCTTTTTTTTTGAATTTTTGCGCACACGTCTAAGCTCTGAATTCTTCGCACGCCTCGCACCCCCGTTTCTTGCTTTGCATCCCCGCGCCATCTCCCTTTCTTGCTACGCGCGTTTCCCTCCAGCTGGACTCTTCGTCTTCCCCTACGCCCAGCTTGATCCTTACCCCGTCTTCCTCCGCGAAGTGATTGGCTGCGTAGTTGGGATGCTCGGACAAATGTGGAAAGCGGGAAACCGCGCACCACTTGGACGAACACCCCAATCACGTAGCCATGCAATCCCGCGGGTCGAACCCTCTAACTCCCCACCTCTCTCCTGTCCTGCTCATCTACACCCTGCGCTGCCCGCACCTCGCGTCGTTAACCCGCCGCCTCCCGCGCTATAAATTCGCGCAACCCTCTCCTCTCCCTCTCTTTGATCTCGGCTGCAAGGCTGCGCGAGCTATGCGCAAGAGTCCGCGGCACCGAACAGGCTCGACGAGCCCAAGGACGGGCGGAGTGACGACGTGGGGTGGGCCCCGCGGTAGTCTCGGGGCTAAGCAGTCGGAGGGACAGCATCGGTGGGGATTGGACGCCGGCCGCGGCAGGGCCTTGTGGCTATGGTGGTCAGTGGTCTTGGGGAGTTTTTGAAGGCTGCGCCTGGGGGCGGCAGCTAATTGAATTTTTTGTGTACAAGAAGGACTCGCTTTTATCTCCATTGCTGCTTTGTCTATGCATGTCGTGTGTGTGAAGCCCCGAGTGATGGGAGCTGGTTGTGCACATGAGTGATGTCGAAGGTCCATGGATGATTAGATGTCCTGTCATGGGTTGTTGATTGCATGCATGWATGTATGTATGTACTCGTCCGGGCGGGGATGGGGAAACTGAACTGGGGGACTGTCTGCTTAGGAGTACGAGTGTGTTGATCCGGTTGTTCCCCTCCCCTCCGC